AAAAAAAAAAGTTCTTTAAAAAACAAGTAGTACTAAAAGTTGTATACTGAAAAAAAAAAAAAAAAAAAAAATCAGATGCAAGGCATCCCAAATTGGGCACTCAAGATTTACAGATTTGATGGATCATTCCCTATCTGTAACATGGGGAAATTACCCACTTCATCTCCCAGAGGTGAAAATAAATGGTATGTTTATGATGCACTGTGATACAATAGCATGACAACAGTAAAACAGTGCATGTGAAAATTAATTGTACTAGCTTAAATGGTGCGTAGAATGTGTCTAGGCCACACATTAAGCAAGGAGAAAACAAAATATTAATTAAGTGCTCAGTAACTGAGCATGATCCATCCTATGCACTGAATACATAAAAGAACTTATAAGAAAATTAGTATGTGGTCATGTAAGTAAAGACATAACATAAGGACAAGAGGACTGACTTAAGGTGGCATAAGGAAACTGAATTCTGGCATAGCCGAACTGTTCATTTAGAACTAGACGTTGCAACTTCAATGCTTATTTAATAGCATTTTTGTGGGTACTATTTCTAATAACTTGCTAAATACTTTAAAATCCCTAAAGATGAAAGTGTTTTGTAAATGCACATGAATATTTTGACATTTTTTCAGATAACGTAGACACTATTCGTTTTCTCTTGCTCCTTCAAGCACAAAAGTTCAACAGACACTGAAAAAACAAATTTCTGATCTATTGAACCAGCTTAATTAGCCAGCAAACTTCCTATTCCTGAGCTTCACTAGGGGCATGCTACCTCAAAGTCATTTTCATACTTAGCTAGATGCAGCTAGTCTTGAAGGGTGTCCAATTTGGATTCAAGCCAGGACTTGTTATGAAAAGAGTGTTAGATGTCAATTGATTGACGATCTCAAAGTTAGGTGAATTTCATTCTTAAACCTGGACCCCACTGCTCCATCAGAGCCTAAGCCCACCAATTTATACGGCACAGCATAAAGTCCACCATCTCTGGTGTTTACATGAGTTGGATGGGATGAGGAATACACATTTTCACCCATCCCATGTACAGTGATTTCCTGTTAGAGAGGTTAAAAGTGCTTTACCAAGTGGGGGATCTTTATTTTACAGGTGGGAAAAATGAAGGCTCGAAAGGAGATTAAATAAGATCACCCAAAGCTACACAATAATTTAGTGAGGGACCAGGACTACAGCCCAGGTATGACACCCAGTCCTGATGCCCTGGATAAGAGCAGTGCTAACTTTAAAAGAAAAACAAGAATGTGATACTGTGCATCTCATTCTGAGATATGCTACTTGCAGAACACACAGAATGGATGAATTGGTAGTTTTACCTACCTGAGAATTCCTGATGATTATCTGGATAGCTTTGTGCCCGCGGCATCCGAGATTTGGGGTAGCTGTCTCTAAAATTGTAAAAACAGACAATATCTAAAATGTTATTGCAGTTAGAGTAATAAAGAAAGCAATTAAAATCTGTTTTGCAACTGTTGCATAAAAAAATGGATGTCAAAGAACCTAACTTTTAAATACTAAAACTTATAATTGATAACTATAATGGATAGATCTTGCTTGATTTCATAGAAATCAAATGCCATTTGCTTGCAATAGGAAAGGAAGCAATAAACTGGTACTGAGCAATGCCGTGTGCAAATATATGCAGTAATGCCTGTGCAGCCACATGCAAGATCCTATCTGCCATTTTCATATCTAAACAAAACATTAGTTACAGGATGATATCTTTATTGAGAATTCATGGATCCTGTTTAAAAAAATTTCCCAAAAGACAAGCAGAGCCTTTCTATGTTTTCTTTATACATTTCCTTTTTCCTTTCATAAAAATGAAGTGATTTCACAAAATTAAGAGCAATTTTTATAGAATCATTTGAGTGCTTTTCCTCATGTGCCTGTACTCTTTCTTATATAGAAGTGTATGCAAGTCCTAGCTATCAAGTAGGAATGAATGAGATTCCCAATTAGAAAGAACGACCAATTCCAGGACAGCACTTCCATAACAAACCACCTCAGAGTCTTCTTTTTCCTCGAAAGATTTTCTTAACTAGCCATTAAATGACAAAAGGGCAGGCAGCAAGCCCACCCCCCTACAAAGAGTCTTGGAATAAAGAAAGAGTAGTAAACTAGGGGAGGATGACAAGAGGATCTCTGGCTACGTTTGGGCAAATCAGAACATTTCTAAGCAAAATGTGTTTTCATGGAATATTAGTCAATCCAATCCAGTTTGCACTTCCCCAAGGGGAAAAAAAAAACTAAAAAAAGAGGGTCAGTAATAGAACAGGGTTCAAAATATCTAAATGAGGAAAATTTAGTGTACACATACCAAATAGCAAAGAGATTTTTTCAAGTCTTGAGGTAATCTCTGTACCCTAGATAGCTCATCTGTAAAACAAGGATCTTGCTCAACTCAAAAGATGATAATTTATTTAAATGTTTGTGAAAAAGAGCTTCTTGGAAAAAAAGGTACTATGGAAGGGAAGAATATTAATAATAGTAGTAGCAATTCACTTCCTTCCAAGGAAATGGAACACACACAAATACTATACAAATTTCCATTAGAAGTCTAAAATTTGTGCAACCACTTAACCATGATGCAAATCTCCAGGAAGAAAAGAAGGTGCTGGAAAACAAATGATCTTCCCTAACGCTGGTAAGAGCAATAATTTTTCACTAGTTGAATAAGCATGATTAAGAGTTAATAAAAGTATTATCTAGTGAGCTATCATTTGCTCTTTATACTGCCAAGCTTCTGGCATGCAATCAATCACAAAACCTTTCCAAGATCTAGTCTTCATGTGACATTTTGTAGATAATCAACCAATGATTTCACATCTTGTTTTAAAAAACATTGACCTAAGGGGATAGGTGCTTTAATTCTGAAGCAATACCCACTATTTAGTTTGTACAATCCAAATAAAACAAGTTTATACTTCATACCATAAACTTAATCTGGTGACTCTATTCAGTGTGGCAACAACAAGAAGCTAGATTTCAGAGTGACTCATATAGTTGCTGTTGTGCCAATATTTTGACCCACAAGACTACAGGCTGGTTCTGAGTCTATCTAGCACAGGGTTCCTGGACTTGGAAACTAGCAGAAACAACCGTGAAGGACAGAAGGCCCAGATGATCTTGTTACTGCCCTGCTAAGATGCATAGAGAGCTGCATATCATTAAAAAAAAATCAAATGGAAACTGATATCTTGCCTCAAAACATTTACACTTTCCTGGTCCAACTCCATTTCTAGAACAGGCAAGAAACTGCTATTACAGCTTTGCAAGTAAAAATAGACAGAAGTTCCTTGGGTGCTCTGGACATGTTAAATTAGTCTCTTACCAGAGAAGAACAGGAAGGTAAGACTTTTGAATACATATTTATAAATTCAGCAGCTTTTCATTCATCAACAATTGATAATGGCCTTGTATAGTCAAACTAAAAATCAATTACGTGTAAAAAACAGCACAAAAAAAGTAGGCAAGTTTAACTGCCTACCCTTTTGAGGACAGCATGAACATTTTACATGCACTGGAGGGAAAAACGTTTAACTAATTTATATGATGCTCGGCCACAGCCCTGACCACTATCCAAAATTTAAAATGCATTTTTAAAAATATCTAGAATGTAATTAGTTGTTGGATTCAATTTTCTAATTTCTAGCTACCCTACTGACAGACTCGCTCCCAGAAAAATCAACATGCTTCACTTCCCTGTAACACAAGAACCTACTGGATCATCCTCCTGTGCTCAGTCCTTCCATATGTAGACCTGCAACAACTTAAATGCTGGCCAGAAAAAACAGACTCTACAAAATGGCTGAAAGGGAAACCAGCCATTCACAGTGCCATTCTTATCAAATTAAGGAAGACGACCTTCACTGGGATTTGCCAGTTATAACTGGCATTTGTACAAGTCTGCCTGGTTCAACATGGGGAACAACCATCCACTCTGGATCAATGCATCTATTTTTCAAAAATGTGTACTAAAATTGACTGCTACACTTCAAATATTAGGCTCCACCACTTTGTGCACTTATTATTTAAATAACTGAGTTACGATTGCTTTTTTCTTCAAAATGATTTTTTCAGAAGTGACATTCAATTTTAAAAATAAACTTTAAAAACTCTATCCACCCACATGCATGCACCATATGGATAGACCTGAAATGTTCCATAACATGTTCCAACAATACAATCCTACAATACTGCATTTACTAAAATATAAGATGGGGCTTTTCCACCATAATCAACACAGAGGAAAAAAGCCCCATATCTTACATTTGCCTACAAGAAAATCAAATTAAATACAATGCCCATCTTTGAGCTGCTGCTAAAAGCAGCATGTGCTCAGTAATGGAAACCAATTCTGAAGCTGATTAAACACAGCCAGCACTAAGCAGCACTAAAATACAGGACCCGTAGTGGGCAAACATGCTGATGGGAACCTACCATAAGGATAGGATAGTGCCATCCATCTGAGTAAAATATATGGTAGTGCCCATTGAGTGCAATCACCCTGAGCGCTGACTCTTCAAGTCATGGGGGGAAGGGGCTGCAGGAGGAAGTTGGGGGAGGGGTAGAGAACAAAGGGAGTACCTGACCTGCTGCAGAAGCGGGAGGTTGACAAATTCAAGACAAGCCTCCAATAATTAGATTCTGAATCTGGAAAATTATATCAAATACATTTTCTATATATAGAATCTAACTGGGGGGGAGGGGGGGTCACCTTATAATCAGGGCTGTCTTATATTCAAGAAAATGTGATATATAATTCTAATATAATAAAAGCGCCTGTCTGCCTGTCCGTCTGTAACGCTTTTGCCCAACTGCGCATGTCCCAATTCACTGTGCGGGCCAGGTGGCCGGGGGCAGAGCCAACCAAGTTAAAATGGGTGCCCCTCCACCGGCGCCACCGCCTCCTGCAGCCTCCCGTGCAGCGGCTCCCTTCACCCCACCTCCACAGAAGCAAAAAAAGTAATGCCACGAGCAGTTTACAGGCAGCGAGGCCAGCTGAAGAAAGGCGGGAGCCCTCCTGTCGGCCCCACCTCCTCCTCCAGCCTCTGCGTGGCTGCTCCCTGTGCTCCTTTTCCACACATGGGCAATCAATAAATTGAGAAGATCAAGTTAACAGCAGCAGGGCCAGCTGAGGAAAAGCGGAAGACCCTCTGCTGGCGCTGTTGCAGGGCAGGGATGGGAGGATGGGAAGGGGGCTGCCTCAGCATGATGGAGAGTGGGGGAGGGGGAAGGTCTCTGGAGGGGAAGGTATGAGGCTGCCTCTTTGCATGAGTGTGTGCGCGCATCTGTGCTCATCTGCATGCATGTCAGGCCATTTGTATGCATCTGCTTGTGTGTGTGCATGTCTGTGCATGTGCATGCATGTGCTCAAGGCAGCCAAACTGTTTGAGTCTGTGTGTCCATTTGCAGAGCGAGTACAGTGCGTGCCCATCTGTGTGTGCGTGTGCACATGAATCTGTTCATGGCAGGAGGGAGAGTGCATTTGTGTCTGGGTCCATGTGCAGAGAGTGGGTAGAGTGTGTGCGTGTCTGTGCACATGCGTCTCCATGCATGAGTGTAAGTCTATGCATCTGTGTTCATGGAAGGGAGAGTGTGTTTGTATCTGTGTCCATGTGCAGAGTGAGTGAGTAGTGTGCACCCATCTGCATGTGTGCATATGCATGCGTTTGTGTTCATGGCAAGAGGGAGAGTGTGTTTGTGTCTGTACATCCATGTGCAGAGAGTAGAGTGAGTAGCAGCATAGAGCGAGTGAATACAGTGTGCGCCTGCCAGCATGTGTGCATGCATGCGTGCATGCGTCTGTGTGTCCATGTGCAGAAAGTGAGAGTAGAGTGTGTGCCTGTCTGTGTGCACACCTGCGTGTGTGTACCTGTATGTGTGTGTGTTTGGCCATAGCAGGATGTAGGGGGCAGGGACCAAAGAGAAGAGGCGGCATGTGCCCCCACACCCCCAGCCCGGCAGGGTCCCCCCCAGCTTCCCCTGCCGGCACCAGGAGAGGAGGGGGCCCTGCCCCGCCCCTTGTAGCCCAGCCCCTGGGGAGAGGGGGCCTCCAATTTTGTTTGCCCAGGCCCTCAGTACACAATTCACTTCTGGGCACGGGGCCAGACAAAGAGTGGCAGGGGGTTGGCACAGGGCCAGACATGGAGCAGCAGGGTGCGGGGGGGGGGCAACCTGTGCACAGCCAGATGTGGAGCAGCATCAGTGCCAGACAGTGGCACTGGTGGTGGCCGCGTGCAGGCTTCCTCCCAGTAACTGGCGGGAGGCAGCAGTGGCGTGGAGTGGTGAGTGACTGTGTTCTGTCCCTGCCTGCCCGTTCTCACCATCATTCTTGACGGTCAATTGGCTAGTCTCACCTGTAATTCTATATCTGCAATGACCTGTCACCTTCCTGTTAATGTTAGATCATTTTAATTGATATATCATCTTGGCAACAAATAGTGAAGTACAGTATTGGGTAAAATGCTAGGAAAACAGCAGTCTCTTTCACATTATGATAATATAAAAATGTAAGTTGGATGGAGTTGTTCATTGTTTGAGAATAGGCTCAATGTATGAACCAGCCAAACAGATTTAAAGTAAATCTTTGCAAATGATGAAGCAGTAAGTACAGAATTTGATATTTTATTTTTGAAAAATCTTCAAAAAAACAACTCTGCCAATCTGTTATTCTTCTTTTGTAAATTTACAAGCAATTTCATCTCAAAACATTGTTATACCGGTACATTTTTAATCAGAAAAAAAGCACACCTATAAGTTACTGAAAGTGAAGTAATTATATTGGGATCAGTTTCTTTAAGCAGTCTAGAAATATTGAAAAATAAATTCTTACCCATCTAAAGGGCTGTCAAGGGAGGGGCAGCTTCCTGAGCCAGAGTTCTCAGGACTACTTAAGGACAATGGATCCAGCATCTAGTGACAATTAGAATAAGTGACAATTTTTATATTATTTAAAAGCCTGGTGGTTCTTAACATCACATTTTACAGTTTAAAAAAATGTATCATCTTAATCACAGAAGCCAGCAGAAATCTGATGTGAATGAAGTCCTATTTGTTCAGAAGTATCCTGTCCCACTTCTCAACTCTTGTGACATCTGAGCTCCAAAAGAAATGTATAATACACAATATTAAGTGGAGCAGGAACAGCACCTACACTGAAGTCGCTCAACAGTATCATATCTCTGTATCAGGCTAAAGCTTTCCAAAAAGCCGGAGCAATAATGAGGCTGCTAAAGGATGGCTAGTGATGCTAATGTTTACATTTTCCCCCCAAAGCAGCTCCAGGCATTAAGGCAGGAATTCAGAATGTGGCCAGGAGACGGTCATAGATGCGCCTTCTGCAAGTTTGTCTTATTTGGTCAAACCTGACGGGTTGTCAGAGAGACAGCAGAACTTGAATGATGTTCATTGTGTTCAGTCTGCCTCTTAACCCTCTTAACAGTCCAACTGCCCAATACAGGTCACTAAGTAAAATTGGTCAGAAAAGGCGTAGGGGTGAGATGCAGGAGGAGGGGCTCATGGAGCTCACTGAAAACTGATGGACACAAAAATCCAAATGGAAAACTTCTGTGGTTTTGACAAGTAAAGGTAAGTTTCAGCTGACACTGGAAAGTTTTTACAATCAAATGGGAAACCCAATTTTCTATCAAGACTAATCCAGACTGTAAATTTGACTGCCCCTACTTTTGAAATGTATTAGAGCTCCTGCTTTAATCACCCAGAACTTAATCTCTAGGCCAAACAAAAAAATCACTATGACCTTTCTCCTGCTGCTCCTCAGGAACTCTGAACCAGTCCTGAGCTGGAAGTCAGAGTAAGGTCAAGTCTCATCTTTCATACTCACTGGGGTGTGTGTATATTTTGTATCACAACCTTTACTGTTTAAGGCCTAATAAGAAAGGCAAGTATCAGAACTCCCCTTCTCCCCATCTGACAGCTATCTACCCCCGTCTCAGGGCTAAATGAAAAAACGCTAACTCTGTAGTTAGGCTGACACAGCTGCTCTGTAGCTAACAGGATCTATGGCACAGTACTAAAGGCCTGGCTAATATGCTGTCCAAATTAAAAAAGCAATGGCCCCAAAAAGGGGATTTGCACTCTAGTACATGGCTGACAGAATGAACTTCTGTAAGACGGGAGTTACACAAGTGAGAGTCTAGTGGTCAGGTGCCTCCCCACATCTGGGTGACCAGTCCAGAGAGGAACACAGTCTCCTGCTTCTTGCTAGCTGGGTTAATCCTATAGCTTTAGAAGTAGATTTCTATGTAGCAGATCTGAATGGCTCCAGTTCACACATTCCTTAGTCTCTGATGAGAACAATCCTTACGCACATCTGTGTGAACTTAACTTAGCAGAGATCCACAAACTGACTTTAATGAAGGCCAATGATAATGTTTTTCTGAAAATACACACCTGGGCAAGGTCTGATCAGGTTACTGACTGGCAGGGCAGAGCATCAGACACATACCTGACTGCAAGTCAGGAGGTCTGGGTCCTACTGTCCATTCATTTACTAGCTTGCTGTACACATCACTACCTCCTTGCATTGATCTTCACTTCCACTCTGTCTCTCAGCTACACAGAAGGTAAGTTCTACGCGCCATGTATTGTCTTATTATATGTTCTCAAGGAACTCTTAAATGTGACTGAAGTTAATATTATAGTGGTGCATAATAACACGTGTAAAAAGTAATAAACGTGCTACTATAAGTTACTTCAGCTAGGCTCCTCTTTTGTGCAGAAAGGATACTGATATTGAGAACAGGATTTTTGTATATTCAAGACACCTTACTACCCCACCAATGTGGCAGACATCAGATGGAGAGAATGCCATGCACTTGTGCACCTTCCAGATAGAGGTGGTAACAGGTGCATAGGGTTCTTTAATCAACAGGAAACAAAACAAAACAAAAAAGAAGATATTTACTTGATCCATGCTTTCTGGAATGAACTCGCCTTCGCTGTTGATACTTGTGAATGATCCATTTCGGGCCACCTGGTGCAGTTCATCGGGAATGTATCCTGGGGGAGGCGAGCTTCTATCACGCGTATTAGAACCTTTATAGAAAAGAAGGAAGTTTGTTGATGAACACTTTACTGGAATTGATAATTAAATACAAAACCTAGTGGCCCAAGTTTTTTTCTTGTTTGGGGGTCGGGTTTTTTTTTTGTTTTGTTTTGTTTTGTTTTTTGTTTTGTTTTGTTTTTTTGTTTGTTTGGTTTTTTTTAATAAAAAGGCAGAAGCTTCGCTTCCACAACTAATGCGACTAGTCTCACAATCTTAAAACACTAGCCGTCGCTTTCATAGGGACTGATGCTGGTAAATTGCTGAATTACTAAAGATCAGGCAAGGGACTTGAAAAATCCCCTGAAGTGCCCAGTTGGTGTCAGCTCCTAAAATTCAGGCCAGAAGGTTCTGAATTCATTTAAAGATCTATTAAATGCCAAAATATAGCTGGCAAATTACTAAGCATGAACCAACTGTGTCTGAGCAGATCAACATGCAGAATCTGAGCTGATGACAAATGAAGTACTGCTAAACATTATGAGATAGGACTGCATTAGAAAGTCAGTCTACCTACTGAAGGCTTGGACATGTTTCTTAGGTACTTCAGTTATCTGGCTACAGCAGTTGAAACATTTGTTGTTTCCTACACAAGGGAACAACAGTTTACTAAATGAGGGTTGACAAATGACTGCAAAGACTGTTTTGCTTTATTTATTTAGCTTCTTTATGGCATTAAGAGGTAAAAATAAAAACAAGTTTTGGAATGTTTTAATTAAGAGTTGCCAGAAATACTTATCTAATCTTCCCTGCTTTTGCTAGATAACCTCAAGTGGGTATCTGGAAGCTTTCCCCTCTCAGTTGCTTAGCTTTCACTCTTGGCTGCTTCAGTGTTGTCGTATCACTAGTTTTCAACTCATCACGGATACACACAATAAGTCTATTTTTGGCATCACAAAAATTAAAGTTTTTTTTTTTGTAAGTCACTTAAAACATCATTAGAAGCACCATTAGACAAGCATGCAAGGTTCTTTGGGTAAATGTGATATCTTTTATTAGAGCAACTAAATAGTTGGGGAAAAAAGTTCTTCTCGAGCTTTCAGGCACAAACACCCTTCTTCAGGCACTGGGAGACTCCCTCTCCAATCTCTCAGTTCTAATCCTCAAAGGGAACTTACAAACCACCTTTAGTAGATGAGCCTATGAACTTCACTTCATAAATCTACTCAATATAAAAAATCATGAGCTTAATATAGATATTGGACACATTACAACCTGCCTGACACCCAATTCACCAGGTACCCTCCTGAAGCTTATTTTTTGCATTCCTTCACCACCCACCCTGTCACTCCCCTCCTATCTCTACCCTGTCTTCCAAACTTCCATTCATTTACACTTTCACAGACTTCTTGTCACACTTTTAGCTTCTCTTCTGCCTTGGAGAACAACAGCAGTCTCCCAATACCCAAAGAAGTATGTTTATGACCAAAGGCTTGCAAAAAACTTTTTCCAGCTACTCAGTTGGTCTAATAAAAGATATCACATTTACCCAAAAAACCTTGTCTGCCTATGCCCTTAGACCAACACATCTACAACCAACAACCGTATTAGACAAGCATAACATTTTAACCCTGTAATCTGGAAACTGTGAAAAATCTAGGTATTTGTTTCCGGATGGAACTATGCACACGTTCCATTGTATAGAAACAGGGATATAATTCATTCATAGACAGACAAGCAATATAACAAACAAATGAAACAAAAATTCCTTTAAAGTAAAAAATGGAGTGTGTACTACAGTTTTTAAAAGCCCCAGCTCCTGAAATTGACTGCAAGATTGTCATGTTTCATTTTTTTTAAATCCATGTCTGTTAGTCACTCACAGCAGAGAAAAGTTTGAAAACTTGAAGCCTAAAGTTCAAAATGAGAAGAATTTTTAAAAAAAAAAATTAGTCTCATTGTATTTTGCGGCCTGACAATGATTTTAAAACCTTAAAGATGACATTTAAAACAGATGCCACTTGCAGCAATCTAGTTTACAAACTGTTACTTAATACTTGGCTTATATCATTAAGAATTTGCATTTATTATGGTAAAGCTGGAGTGGTGATGTAGCTGTGATGGTCCAAGAAGTATGCAAGGATTGTTGCAGGCGATACCCTCTTTTTGGACCAGCTGCATGGTTGGGCTAGACTTGGACAGGCTTCAAGATGAAATGTTCTTCATCAGGTCTGACAGCCCTCAAGATCTGAGAGTCCTCCAACCAATAAAAGATACCACCCATAGAAATCCTCACCTCTGGCATATTTATTATTATGGTATTTAATTTTTAAAAAGAGTCCTGAATACTCAGTCCCAGAAAAATAATTTAAGCATCTTGCCTATAGGAACAAAGGTGGTCACCATGCTGAATATTTCCTATTTATACTATCACTGTCTCCTCAGCAAATTTATACACATACAATACACAAGCACAACATGTAATTTAGAATTAGGCCAACTGAAACAAATTACTATTATTTGTTCAATAATTTTTTTAGAGAAAGGGAATACAAAGAATTCTCAATATTAAACTTCACAAGTTAACCTGGTAGTAAAACCACAGTTTTAGATGGAGATACTTTGGAAACAATGTCAAACAGTTTAAGAATGGAAAGCTCCATTTAATTACAGCCATGAAAACAAGCTGCCATTTAAATAAGGATATTTTGTTCAGAAGCTCAATCCTCAACCCAATAAAGTCAAAGGAAGCATTAGCATTGACTTTTATGGACACAAAAATTAGGATGTAAAATGAACAATAAAATTATTTAAGTAAAATTGTGGGGGAAAAAATAAAATCTTTTTGTCAACTTTAATAATCTAAAGCTGGTCTTATTTGTTTTCTTTCAATTGTGATGGAGTAGTTACTTTGCCAGAGCTTTCTGCACTGACTATTTATATACATTAAACAAACTTTTTTTTAATCCCCCGCTTTGCTTTCTAAAACTAGCATTTTAGTGAAATATTACAGAAGTGTGCCAACTATTTTGCATGTATAAACCTTCTACTATAGAACATCAATACATATCTTATGCTGAGAGATTAAAAGGAAAGCTCTTACACTTCAAGTTACTACAATACAGCAGTTTACCTATTACAGGAAGCTTGCTTTTTCTTTCTGTTACTCCAAACACTGTGTTATTCAAATCTTCCAGTGACGAAAGGGGTTCCATGTTACTCACACTGGGAGACTAAAAATGAGAACATACTAAAATAACTGCACATTTCTGAAAGCTAGACATCTTTGTGTTAAGAAAAAAAACAAACTTGTAAATGCTATAACTTTTTAAGAAGGAAAAGAGCTACTTCCTTGAAGTTCATGTTTCATACAGCTTCATCAACAGTTTATTCACACATTTGCGCAGGTAAACTTTAAACTAAACTACTCTGGGACAAAAGTTTACATGTATAATTGATAACTTAGGACTTCTTTCAAACTTGAGCATTTCAGTTCCTATCAAGAAAAGTTTTCTGTTCATGAGAGATGGTGCTTGGATTTCAGCTTGAAATGTAATTATTAAAAAAACGTAATTTATAATAAGGTATAATTCTGTAACATTGCTGAAAATGTCACATGATTTAGAAACAACCTCCTTCCACTGCTGTGTAAAAGACCCATGCATACATGGCAGACCAAGTAACTATTAAGTGGCACAGTGAAACTGGCTGAACTAACTGCTGTTAAACATATTCAATTTAGCTGGCTGGAAGAAAATATTCTCTCTCTAAACCTTGCAGCTAGAGTAATTGTAAATGTTACTTGTAACAATAAAATAAAAATTTTAGATAGACATGCTATTTTTAAGTAACTATTGTTCCTTTAAACTTTATAAAGGAAACCCTTTAAAATACCGAGTAGGTACCTGTGTATTTCCATGCACTACAAGCAATATTTTGAGGCTCTTCATGTGAACACTACGATCTAACAGTTCAACAGCTTTGTCCAAATCATCCTGTGTGGTTAACGGAATCACCAGCTATAGGAAAGGAAGACAAATTAGTTTTAACAAGAAACATATGGGAAGAAGAGCTGGTATAACAACTTGATAACATAAGATTCCCCCCACCTGCCTGGACGTTTTTATGCATTAAACAAAAAATTCTATGAAAATGCATGTTAAGGTGACAATGAACAGACCTAGAAGATACCACATTTAAACATGAAGCACAACCCTAACTTTGCCTTTTAGCACATATGACATTACAAAAGAAGCATTTGTTATTAGGTAACTACCACTTCCGGTATACTGTGCAATGTATTGTCCACAGCTTTATCAGGGGTATCAAACTCATCTGGCCCAGCTGGCTGGATGAGCAGCATGGGCCTATCTGCAAGCTGATCAGGCACGCAGACCAACCCTGCATGCTGAGTTCAGTGCACATGGCTATCCCATGTACACATCACATATGCTGCCGGCCCCATGTACCATGTGTAGTTTACAGGACTGGTCTGACAAATGCCACACATAGGTCCCAGTTCAAGACCCATAGGCAGAACAGCAGGCTGGATGATGGGGCTCCACAGACCAGATCCAGCCCACAAGCAATATCTTGAACACCCCTGCTTTAGAAGAGGCTACACGACTATGTAGCATCTTCACTCTTCTACACAGCAGCTTCATTTAATACCTATACATTTACTCAGACCTGTTGAATAAAGTCTCTTTTCTGGAGCTTTATACACTGATTTTTTATATATTTTTGTTTCTAACTTATTAAGAAATCCCGTTGTTCAAAAAATGTCAGACATGAACCTTCCCAAAAGGCCTAAACATGCATCTCACTAGAAATCCATGGACTGGTTTAATTATTTCTTTAAGCAAGTCACAAATTGCCAATTAAAATCCAGTTGAAGCGTAATTAACACTTGTTCAAATATAAACCAGATTTTAATAAACTTAGAAATGAAACCTCTCTTGTTTCTATAAAGAAGCGGCATTAGGCTAGATGAATAAATGCTCTCCACCTATGTCCTAACGCACAGAGGAGAAGGGACAAAGAAAGAGGATGAGGCAATGATGAAAGCAAGATTTTTCCATTATAGCCTGTTTTCTAATGTGTATTTGTTAGGAATAACCTGCTACATTTAAACTAACACACTTCTGGCAAGATCATCCCTTTATATTTTATCCAGAGCATGACAAGAAGAGTAAAAAAACTCCTGATCAACTGCCCAACAATCTGTTAGGGATATTTGAGCTTACTAAGCATAACGTATACGCCCCTGCCCTTCAAAAACCCTCTGTGGGAATGTATTCAGTATTTAGGAATCAGTCAGTTCAAAAGAGGGTGGTTGGTGAGGTAGGTGGTAGCAGATGGACAAATACCTCATGCTATCCCTGGCAGATGCAACCAGGTAATTGTGCGCACAGAGTTATACGGGCATGTATACTCCCTACTATTTTAATAAAATAAGGACAAAAAACAGTGAAAGTTCCTGAAAATTAATACTGACCCTATATATATGCTTTTCTATCAAGTCTCCCTCTACACCTCTGGCTTGCTTGGAAGAAGTAATTTGGGTCGGTCACAGGATCATAGGAAAGTAAGGCTGGAAGGGACCTCGTGAGGTCACAGGTAGTTCAGCTCCCTGCTCAAGGTAGGATCATCCTTGACTAAAGCATCCCTGCCTAGTGTCTGTCCAACCTGCTCTTGAACATTTCCGGGAATGGGGAGTCCATAACTTCTCTAGGTAGTTAGAAAGTCCCTCCTAATCTCCAACCTAAATTTCTTCCGCTGCAGCTTGAAGCCATTGCTCCTAGTCCTGTCCCCTATGACCACAAGAAAAAATCATCTCCATCCTCTCCATAATCATCCTTCAAGCATTTGGAGACTTATCAAATCATTTGTCTCAGGCCTCTACTCATTGCTCTTGGCTGCACTCTCTCCAATCTGTCCACATCCTTGAAACATGGGGCCCAAACTGGACACAGGACCCCAGGTGAGGCCTCACCAGTGCTGGATAAAGCAGAAGGCTCACTTACCTTGATATGCAGGTGACACTCCTGTTAATACAACCCAGCATACTGTTAACCTTTTTTGCTACAAGAGCATGCTTGCTGGCTCATATTCAGCTTATGGGTGGTGTAAGTGGGTCACTCAACCAGCTAGGAAGCCAGTTATTTCTGGGTTCAGGGTTTACAGGCAGTTTTACATGGGGCAACCCTATCCCCACAGTACACAAAAGCAATAAAATAAGCAAGCATGCAAATGACAAACAAAACCAAAACCTGCCATCTTCCTTCAACCTCCAGGGATGTGCGCTCTGCTTTACCCGACTTTAGACAATTCCCATTCACTTAAAGAAAGAACAGACTGGAAGCCCTGCAGTCCACAACAGAAATAACCAACTAAAACCTCACTCTCCTGCAGCTTTCTTACAGATGTACATCCTATAGCCCTCAGTCAATCCTAATGAAAATCAGTTTGATTTCAGTCTTGAAATGTATTGAAATATAATAAACCCAGGATTTAGGAATTCAAAAAATTACCTCATTATTGCTATAATGCAAATCCATAGGCTGTCCAAAAGCAACTTTAGCTTTAGCTGCAAGATCTTCTAGCTTGACAGGTCTCGGAAACTGCAGGATTCTGAAAAACAATTTAAGTGTTGGAACATTTTTTCCACTAGTATTAAAAGGATAAATTATTATTAATAAAATTGCTTGTGCATCTGATCCTAAATCTAAAGTTAGTCACATGGATTAAACACATTAAAAAAAACCAGATTTCATATTTTTGCCTTCTATTTTCGGTACATTAATGTATAGTTTAAACAAAACACATTTATTTCAGTGAAAAATTAAAAGGAAGCTCACAGTTAGTATACATAAGATTAGTGTATTATCAGTGTTTTACTTGCTTTGATGTTGCTTCCATTTTGTAGGCAAACAGGACATTAAACTATTTTGTGTCCTGCTGTAAGCACACCAGTATTCCAGATGCTTGTACATGCATGTCAGTATTGCCTTGTTTAAGGGATGCAGCAAAACAGTGGAGGCAGTTACCACTGAAGACAGCCAAGAGGTAGGCTAGTAATGGCCTGATAAGCAAAAGAGCAAAATACTGCAGCTTTCATTTTAAGGAGCAAATAGATTTTCCTTATTTAAGAAGGCAACTTCATAAAATCATCCTTAAAATAAATGAGAAGAGAGGGGAAAGGGGTGGGGAGGGGAAAGAGAGATGATACTGTATTTAACCAAATACATGCATAATTATACAAGGGCCTGCCCTTTGCTCCCCCTGCCCCACCCCCACTGCCTCCTCACCACCAATGCTTGTGTGGCCTAGCGCCTGCTCCCCACACCTATACCCCCTGGTACCTGCCTCCCTCCCACCTCCTACAGCAGGGGCGGACAATTATTTCAGGCAGAGGGCCGCTTACTGAGTTTTGGCAAGCCATTGAGGGCCACATTACAGCCCGCCAGGAGCAGATAAATATTATTTTTGTAAATTTGTGGGGACCCCGCAGGCTGGATAGAATGGCCTGGTAGGCCGCATCTGGCCCATGGGCCGCATTTTGCCCACCCCTATCCTACAGCCTCCCTCCTGCCACTGCTTTCCCTCTGGCTCCGGCCCCAATCTAGCCCAGGGAACAGAGCATGTGGCTGCTTCAGCCCCAGCCCAGTCAAACAGCAGTTGCTGGAGCAGCTGCAGCTCCGACTGAGCCCGAGCCACAGCCTGGGTTGAAGCTGCTGCCATTGCCACCAGGCTGGGCTCAGGCAGAAGCAAACACTTGCTTTGGGCCCTGGGCTGGAGTGGGGCCAGAGCCCTGCCAGAGCAGACAGTAAGTGGTGGAAGGGGAGAAGGCAATGAGGCAGAGGCTGGGGAGGCAGGACAGCAGGAGTGGGCAGGCAGGAAACAGGCAGCAGCTGTGGTTCCAACACCAACACTGAGTCAGGGCCCAAGCTGGATCTGCAGCAGCTACCTCTCTACCCCAGCCCCACCACCCTGTACTTGAATGCAAGGTGAGGGGCTTTATACCTCCCCCCACCCCACACACACACCTCCCATGTTAAATGGAGGGAAAATACCCTCTCATCTTGGATTTAAGAAATATGGTATATTAAATTGTTACATGCATCAGCATTGACAGCATTCCTTCAAGAACCGCGTCCCCTTAACAATTCTTGCAACTGTAAGCACCAACCAAAAGATTTTCTACCACCTGAATTCTACCTAAACCAGAAGATACAAAATAGGCCTAAACTTGCTGAACTTCTGTAACAGAAAATTATCTCATGAATAGGAGCAATTAAACTATATGGGCAGAAAGGTAACAGAACAAACTTCTTCATCTGTGTTCTAAGTTACTGATGCAGACTCGAACCACACAGAGGAGAAATGTTGGTTATATATTATGGGTGTTACATTAGAAAATTATCAATGGCTAATGGTCCCTTTTATCTGTGTGTTCACTAACCAACAAAGCAATAAGAATATAATTTTACTCAGTCAGAGAAGGACAGACACTAGGTCATTTCTGAGTTACAAAAAGGAACATTTCTCTCCTTTCTCATGGTAATTAACTGTTCATTCAGCAAGTTTGGAACCTTTGACCTTGCCTGCTGGAAGACCTTGTTCATCACTTTTGAATGCCACTTTCAATAATTGGAATTCAAGAAGAACTACTGCTACTCCTTTCTACCCGTCTCCTTCACAAAAGGGTAAAAGCACTAATACGTTGCAAAATACTTTTGTTGCATTGCTTCATCACTGTATTGTTGGAGCTACGTGTTCCAGGAACAGAGCTCACCCTATACACTGGGCTTGGTCTGCCCAGTGTCCCCAAGGCATTCAGTTCCAAATCACTTTTGGCAGGTCTGAAACAGAACCAGAACTTGTCTGCATGATGGGATAAATGAGAAATGCTATGCCACAATAGCTACCTACATACACGCATACTTACTCTGCCCAAGAGCTACTGTGAGTGGTCTGTCATAATTTTGGAAGTGGGTTAAGCTGAACTGCTACAGTTTACTCTTCCATAAGGCTGCAACAGACATTGCCTTTGTGCCACCATAAAAATGTAAATGGTGGCACAAAACCCGTGTAATCAGACACTCTAGCTCTTACCTACGTCACAAATGCCGAAATCTGGGAGCATGACAATTCCTAATAATAGTTGGTGCTGCCTTTTCATGGCTGATTTCTATTCAGCTTATGGCTCCAACTGACTCTGGCAGGTGCTTCTGGGGCTTCAGGGACCTGATTCCAGCAGAGGGATACCCAAGATATGGCACCCATGGTTACTGTTCCACAGGATCAAACCCCTGCAGGACAATGGCTCTGGCAATGTCTGCTGAGCTCAGTGAAGGAGATCAGCTGTGCCAGGACACATCCCACCCATAGCTGATCCAGTTCCAAACATGACAGCTGTTTATACCCTAAGAATGAGAGAAAGGGCATGCACAGTGTTGGACAAAGTGTGTATCTTGTTAACAGCCATCAAGAATATTCCTATTTTTCTAGGTATTAAGAAGTGACCGCACATTACAGTGAGATTAGCATGAAAGAACCTGAACTGACAGATTTTATACGTAGGCCAATAAGGACAGGTTCCCAGTATAAACTTGTGACAGAAATGTATTAAAATCTTTTCCTGTCTTACCTTTTTTCACCTCGATGTTCAAACTTGACTCTAACGTCATTCTGTAATGAAAGAAACAAGTTATACACACAAAGCAAAATGCCAAAAAAAAGCAATATCAATTATTGGTTTGTGACAAATCCTTTTCTACTCAGAAAACTGAGCAAGATCTATTAAACATTCATACACAATTTGCATAATCTTAAAGAGATGAGTATTTATACATACTTTTTTGGCCTACTGAACATTTGGCAAAAAAGTGGAAAACTATTTCTTTAGCTAAGGTATCAGGTAAGTCCAAACTCAACAAAGCACAAATGCTTGTATGAGAAAAAAAAGTAAGTGCATTTTTTGATTATATGGTAACCTTTCTTTCCCCTCCAAAAGACTCATAAGAAAAATAATAATAATAATAATCATCATCATCACCACCACACTTGACCCATATGCAGGGGTATCTTATAATTGCCTACAGTCTTGATGTTTTACTCTCAGTATTTTTGCACATGCAATAAAATACTAGATGAGAAATTTTCAGTGTAGTTTTTATTTGAGTGTACTTAACCCTTTCAATCTTTTCCTTGGTCATTTGATTCCCCTGTGATATTCTGTAAGAACAACAGGAGTTCACGGACTTTATCTGTTATTCATATCTTATAGTTTTGGAGAAAATCATTATTTGCTAAAATTGAACCTTAAAGTATAGGGCTGACTTATAATCAGAATACTGCATTGCAGACGGCAATGTTTTATTAAATAATGCATCGGTGTTTTTAAATTAAATATGAAATTTACTTACTATTTTGTCTAAGGATTAGGGTCTCACTCAGGTGGCTTGCGAGATTAAAATACTCAGTTTAAATGACTGTTTAAGTAATTATTCTTCCCTTCCTCTGTGCCCTGCATATTTGGTCTCACAACTGAAGTGTCTCATTTAACAGGGGGAAGGGTTGGTTTGGCAACCATCATTCCCTTCCAGATCATGGTGTATGCAGGAGAAGTCACCCAGACCTTCAACACATTAGCCCACGCAGGAGTATGGAAGAGTGGAGGCGGTCCAGGCCTTCTATCCTCCCTTTAGGCCATTGAGACAGAATCCAAAGGCCAGACTGAGTCCAGACATTTGGTGCCTCCGTAGCTGTAGAAGTAGCTGGGAATTGAACCCATGTCTCCTGTGTGGCAGACAAGCTTTCTATCCCTGAACCACAGGGGACTCCAGAAGGCGAAAGACTACAAGTAATAGTACTTCTATAGCTAAGGCTGCATAAGTATTGCCATTATTTCAGTAGTTAGATATCCACAGTTAGATACCTCTGGAGCCAAACAGTGCTGCAACTCTTCGAACCTCATTAGGGGCAACAAAACTTCTGTTTTTCCTCCATCTACATGGGGGAAATTTCTTTGTTAGCCTCCTTCAGTGCCTGCCTAGCTCACAAAGCAAATAATTGGTGGAGACTGGGCATTTCACAAAGTATGAGGGAAAAACTCTCTCAGACTTCCTGCGGTGTTCAAAAGAGGCTAATTTTCCCCAACTACATACTATTCATGAAAAAAACTCCTGGTACCATCTAGCAAATAATTCCACATTGGCTTTCACTTGTACTATTTCCAGTTTTTCACAAGCCAGCAGCATTCACTTAAATGGAGACTGTGCCCTAAGGCACATATATAAAGGGGCAAAATTATGGCTAAATGGACAGCCTTAAACACTGGTATTACCTTGGCTCAGCCTTCCACTTTAACACTTAATAGTATTCTTTTAGCAGATCTGTTTCCCCAAATTGCCTCAATCCTTTTTTTATTTTTTTTTAAAGGACAGTGACAGACAAAAATAATAATTCTGCACCCTGAAACTCTAGCAATTCTTCAGCAAGATGATGACTGGATACTTTTAAACTGAATGAGGACTTCTTCAGACCTCTAGGAAGACTAGTACATTGAATAAAACAAGGTGCTATTATGTACATTAGCAGTGCCAATGAAACATTGGAAACTGTTAAAATAAGTTACTATATAAAGTACTTTTTATAAAGAATACTTTCTGCATCAGAAGTTATCATTTTACTAAACCAGAAAGAATTTATGATCATGAAGAACACATCCAACACTCTATTCAAACAACAAAGTTTTGCTGTTCCCTCCTGTAGAGCCATGAAAAAAGTCACAGCTTTAAATAATAAAAAATATGTACTTTATTCATTGCCTTGGAACTCAAGAATTCTTAACTATCTTTGCTTAAAACTTCTCAAATGTATTTTATCCTTAAAATGGGACCAGACAAGGAAAATTTCTGTCCAGAAGGTAAAAAACAGTTATGGAAGTTAGGGTTTTTTTGTTTTTGTACAATCACTTATAAGAATGGAAGCATGTATGAATAAAAAGTTTCCCATTGTGTTTTCCTATTATTTATTGTATATTTATTATATACAAAAAGAGGAGGATTGCACATGCACACATTTATTTTGCTGCCTAAAAACGTGTACAACGTTAACACTCAAGTCACCACAACAGACTACCACCATTTTGTCAATGAACATATCGAACACATACATGACAAAATATCAACCCTATGAAAACTTACAGCTTTTAAGCCACTAGTAAGGACTGAACTAAATAAAGGTTTTAACTAAGCTAAATATATAATATCCATTACAGGTAGCTTGCTGTACAAGTGAGAAAAACTTCTACTTTGTGAAATTCATAGATGGCCTGAAAATTTTAGATTTTTTAAGCTTTGTACAGTTGGACTTAAAAATCCTTTCCCCCTAGATTGATATTGTAAATGGGGATTGACAAAGTTAGGCAATGTCAAGACACTCAAGAATTCTAAAGACCTACTGTGTCTGAAATTAAGAAGTGGCTATAGCCTTTCACACCTCCTCCATACATCACAAAACACAATAAAGAAAATAAGAACTCTTTCCCTGAATTGCTGATACTTTTGGTATGACAGGTTCAGTTCACAGAGTCCACTTTATATCTAAATTCATAGATGGTAAGGGGCTGGAAAGGACCTTGCAGATAATTGGGTCCACCCCCCCACTCTAGGCAGGAAGACAACTGGGGTTAGGGACCCCAGCGAGGTGACTGTCCAGTCTTCTCTTGAAAACCTCCAGGGTAGGTGACTGCACCACCTCTGGAAGAAGTTTATTCCAGCCTGGACACCCTGACTGTGAAGGAGTTTTTTCTGGTATTAAGCCTGAAGCAGCCTTCCAGGAGTTTGTACCCATTACTCCTAGTCTTCCCCGGGGATGCCCTAGTAAACAGTTGCTCACCGAGGTCCTGATGCACTCCTCTGATATAGCTGTAAGCCACTATCAAGTCCCCTCTCAACCTTCTCTTCTGTAGGCTAAAGAGGCCCAGGTCCCTCAGCCTCTCCACATATGGCTTGCCTTGCAAGTCCTTGATCTTATGGGTAGGTCCTTCTCCGGACCCTCTCAAGTTTTTCCACATCCTTATTGAAGTGCGATGCCCAGAACTGGACACAGTACTCCAGCTGTGGTCTCACCAGTGCTGAGTACAGCGGGAGTACCTTTCTTTGTTTTACATGAGATGCACTGGTCGATGCATGCCAGCATGTTGTTTGCCATGCTGACCATCACCTCGCACTGATGGCTCACATTCATGCGATGGTCGATCATAACCCCTAGGTCCATTGCGGCTGTGGTGCAAGTCAAGCAGTTTCCACCAAGCCTATATGTATGCTGAAGTTGTTTGACCCCCGATGGAGCACCTTATACTTGGAAGTGTTAAACTTCATCTGGTCCCAGTCTGCCCAACTGTGGAGCCTGTCCAGGTCCACCTGTACCTGCAACCTATCATCTGGTGTGACCACACTGCCCCATAACTTGGTGTCGTCCACAAACCTGGCCAGCGAGCTTTTCACTCCCCACATCCAAATCATTGATAAAGATGTTGAAAATTCCCTCCAAGGAAAGAATGGGTAGCAAACCTCAATTTTAAACAAAATCCAAAATAAAAACAACAAAAAACAAATAAATATAAAACACTGTGATGGATAATGTCAAATCAAAGCGTAAGCTTGAGGTTTACTGCTTCTCCCAGCTCATGATCTTTAAAATGCAATGTGGGAATGGGAAGGGGATGCTTTCCCATTATGCAGTAAGCACCTTCAAAATCTGTCTTGAAAAGCCACACTTGGGTTTGCCATTTGTTTCCTAAATATGGATAATAAAAAACAATTGTATTCACAGAGAGCTGGAATCATTCATTTAACACTGGCACTGGTGTTGCAACAGGAGAATTATAGAAGCTGTAACACTCTATACTCTGGCCACTGTGCTAACAAGAATACTGAAGATTACCTGTTTCTTAGGTGAAGATGATTTGGGTTTTCCTGTTTCTTGTAGGGGCAGCACAGGATGACTGGCCTTATGAAGTACAGCCAGGTCTTGCATGATTGAATTCAAAGCTTGCTGCTCATCTGTTTAAAAAAACCCAACCAAAAAAAGACAGAGAAAATGTGTAAATGACCACTGTAGTTTACATTGACTAGAATAGTAATCCATTCTAAAATACACATAACTATCACAACCACCCTAATAACAATTCAAGAATCGTGTTACCCTGTGGCTAGCATATTGCAGTTACAAAATTCTTCATTTTATTCATTCCCAGGCAATATCATCATAAACAGGAAAATAAGTATCTTTTTGGCAATTTACCTTTCAGTCAAAAACAGTTAAACAAACAAAAAGGGTTTTGAACAAACTGCTGTAAGCTTGTAGCAAGGTGTTCTCCTTGATACAACTGCAGATGTGAAGTAACTTAAAAAAAATTCAGTGAGAGAAGTGAGAGAGAAAAGAAAACAAAACCCCCAACTTGCAACTACAGAAAAATATCAACATTAACAATCTACTCTGGGTATTATTTTTCCCCTGCTAAAAAACACTTGAACTCAGGCACAAAGTAAAACCACCAAACGCACTAAACTCTTGGGAGACTTTTGCTGCCTAAATACCTGCCATTGACGGCTCACCGTGCAGGGGTGTTTTGCTTTGTTTTGTTTTTTTTACTTTTCCTGCTGCACAGATGAAGTCTTCTAAGGCAAAGGAGTGGCCAGAGAGATTCATAGGCAAAGGTGGTCAGTCTGAGAACGATCGGGTGCAGAGATACTTAGCAATGAGGCTGGCTGACAGTGGAATCGCACAAAGCTGAAGGTGATCAAACATGAAAACGTTACCCTTACAGCCCTGGTAAGTAGGGAATAATTAGCATTTTGGATTTTTTTTTTCTTGGAGGTGGGGAATTGGAAGGCTGACACTTTATCCCAACTCCACATCACATCATTGTTGCTCCTGTTCAGTTTGTCCTCGTCTCCACAGATGTATCAACAGAATGAACAACACATTTTTGCCTCCCCCCAAAAATTATTTAATAGTGGCACAAGAAAGAGCTCTTTATTTGATTTTCCTTGAGCCTGGCCTAATTACCTATCTCCATGACAAGTTCAGCTGCACAGTTCCTAAGTGACAAAAGGCCTTCAGCAAAAACCAGGGAACTGCACAAATGGATACTAATTGTTTTATGACTTTATGGTCCATCTGACTAAGAATTTAGCCATTTGAACAGCCAGTCAAGTCACAGATATTGATAAGGAGACAGAGAAAAATCATCTGTATATTAAAACTTTGATATTCTTGGATATCCACATTATAAACGTGAACAACACTTTTGAGAGCTATCCAAAGTCATGCAACAATATGAACCTCAATAAGTGAAATACTGGAGTCTCTACAGTCAATAGTATTTATTAAAAGTGATTGAGCCCTGTGGAATAACTTTGTTAGGTATTCCAAAGTTAAGTATTAATAGATTTATTCATGCTATGCATAAATGGATGCCAAGTTCAAATATATAATTTTATGATCCATGACAAAGGATCCCTTATGAAATGCCACTTTGTTGTAATGTTAACTTTGCAGAAATGGGAAGCAAGGTTTCATGACAAATACAAATAAATGTTGGCTCACTTGTAGGATTTGCAATTGATACTATTAATTTACATTACCAAAAGAAAAAGAAGAGCTGCAAGTGACAGTGATAATCTAGATAACTGGTACCAAGCTTTGCAGCTCAGTATTTCATTGTCATAATCCTCTTGGGAAGGTTATACTTTGTGCTGGATATTACAAAGAGGCTGTAAAGAATAAAACTTAGTGAATTTACCCATACCTAAAATGACCCTAAACTTAAGACAACCCCCAATAATTAAATTAGATTAAATTAATTATTATTTTCTAGATTCTATACATAGAAAACTAAAACAAGCTTATAAAATTTCCATGTACTCAACTGAATTATTGAAAGATTGGCTTAAATTTGCCCCATCCCCAACCTGCTGCAACAGGGAAAGCAGTGGCAGGGGGGCAGTAAGGCAGCTTGACCCTTGCCCCCTTGCTAAGCAGACAGAGGTCCATACCTTGTTACACGACAAATGCCTGAATCTTGTAGCTGCAACAGGTGGTATCAATTTGTACCACTTCATTGTGGTAGATGTCCATTACGTTTATGGCAGGAGAATGCTGGTTATCCTGGAGCTGCCTTTGCTCCTTTAGTCACCTTGGTCAGGCACAGCTGGCACTTCAGGGGCCCAGTGCTGTGCACTCTGGAAATGGGAACTTCCAGGGCATGCAGGATTGTGTCCCTGAAGCTCTGAAACCACCTGCCTGGGTTCACTGGTTTGGGAGTCTCTGGGTGCCTGCTTCCAAGCAATACAAGTAAATGGCCTCCTCAGTAAATGCAAGTCTCAAAGACCGGGGTAGAAACAGGAGAAAACAATTTCTTCAGAACACATTTACACTAGACCAATTCTAAATGGAAAATTTTCTTTAGACCATTTTCTCAGCATCCTAGCCTTAATACCACATACTTAATGCTGCTGACTTAGTTCCCAGCCCAGTCAGTCTCTGTATCAAAAGGGGCCTCCCTGCATTGATCTGCAGTTTGGATGAATACAATGGCTTTAAAGAAGGACAGGTAAAGCTACAGTGGTATATGGTCAGTGACTCCCAAGGGGAGGACAGGATTTGCTCAGATTATGGAATGAATCCATGAAGGAAGAGGCCTATTCTCTTCTCAAGCGTCCCTGGGGAGATATCCTATATGCAGCTAAACTTCAAGACTGCATAGAAAGAATGGAATTTCCCTTGGTTAGACCAATATAAATTATATTAGTTCTCTAGGACTACAAATTACTTCAATTAAGGAGGATATGCATTCATTATTCAGACAGATGTTCTGTAATTAAAAAAAAATTAAATCCCCAATTACAGGTAGTATACTAGATATATTACCAAGCTTTTGATCAATTACTAAAGAATATAATAGGTTTGCTTATTATTTCATAAACACATCAGACAAGGATTAAAATGTAAAATGTGTCAGATTATAGTGTAACTGAAGCAAATTAAAAAACCCACAGAGGAACGTGTTGACTGGTAACTAATAAGCAGTTTTCATTTTTAGCTGAAGATGCCTACTATGTACAATACTGAAGCATAGTAAATATGCAGGAAAAACTAAACAATTGATAATGGATTATTTTGTGTGCGACATTCTGAGGAATCTATGCACATCTTATGACATCTGGTTGGCACCATGAAACAGCTGAATCATGTCAGTGCATGCAGTGTCAACTATCTGTAGTATATCCCACCTAGATGAAGTACAATGGTGGATCATTAACATTTGTCTGTAAAATGGAAACACTGAGACAAGTTGGCTGAAGCCGAGAAAAAGGTAGCTCCCCACTATCTTTTGTGCAGGAAGTAGAGACTGCAAAAGCCCCAGAAGCAGAACAAATTAAGTAATGTGTTAATACTTGCCTTTAAATACCACAAAGACTAGATGAGTCAAAGGAGACTCAGAGCCACATTTGAAATGTTGGGGTAGGAAACAGGAAAAGGATTAAATATTTTCATAGCTGGGAGTGAATCATGCTTGAATGTGGGACACACCAAGTTCAGAGCAAACTACCTGAGGCAAAGACAGGCCAATGAATCATGGACACTGCAGAAGACAGGCATGGACTCTGCTGCATGCTCTTGTTAAACATTTGAACCAAGGACTCTACATACTATGTTCCCATTCACTATACATTCCCATTGCCAGCTTGTAGTACTGAAAATGCCTACAGGCTGCAATGACCTCTGGAAAAGGTGAAGAACCACAGGAGAGATTAACCTCATTCAGACAAACTGGAGAGCCACAGTGAGAAATGTGTGCTAAAAGTAAGAGGACCCATCCATGGCATAGAAGGGCTGACACAGCTCACCTTTACAAAAAGGTGGATCTCTAGTTCCTAGTAGTAAAAAAGGGGGAAGGGGGGAGTATTCCCAAGGACACAAAAAAGCTCAGGGGCACAGCCCACCCTTTAAATTTGCAAATGTAAGTAAGTAGAGTAAGATCCTCATTGTTTTGTCAGCTGCTTGCATCAGTTATACGGTATTTACAACATGCTAAAATATTTGATATCTAAATGTAATGTATGACACTGCTGATTATCTACCTAGGTGATTCTTGATGGATGAAAAGTTTGTTGAAAATGTAAGAATAAAGTGTCCTAATCTGGGAATCATTGTCCTGTGTAACACAGTATCAGATCCAAGAAAAACCTAGCACTAAAAAGCAAACAAATGCTCCCTGGATATGATAAAGAGGGGTTATCCTTCTAAATCGCACTCAAATATTGGCTATGATATTTATCTAACTGACAAATCCTTTCTTTGATTTCAACTGTAGTGTCTAAGTGGTACCTTATTTGTAAGTTTGCTACCATTAAGAAAATGCACTTCCTTCATTCTGATGTATTTTAGGTTAGTGCTTAAGAAAGAAAATTGTATTGTTCCTCTGATAGATGGGTGGGAAGACAATGTCAAAGCATGCTAGATTACCACATTTCATAAATGATGAAGATGAGCCGGCAGTGTGACGAGGCCATCGATAAGACCAATTGCACCTTGTTGTGCATGACCAACAGATCAAGACCAACAGATGCATGACCAACAGATTGAGGGAGGTGATGCTCCCCCTCTATGTGGCACTGGTCAGGCCGCAGCTGGAGTACTGTGTCCAGTTTTGGGTGCCACACTTCAAGAGGGACACGGGGAATCTGGAGAGGGTTCAGAGAAGGGCCACTCGTATGATTAGTGGCCTCCATGAAAGACCCTATGAGGGGAGGTTGAGGGATCTGGATCTCTTCAGCCTTCACAAGAGACATCTGAGGGGAGACCTTGTAGCTGCCTATAAGTTTATCAAGGGAGGACAACAGGGACTTGGAGATGTACTATTTACCAGAGCATGCCTAGGAGTAACTAGGAACAATGGGTGCAAACTGGTGGAAAGCAGATTCAGATTAGACATCAGGAAGAAATTTTTCACAGTAAGGGTAACCAGAATCTGGAATGGGCTTTCAAGAGAGGTGGTACTATCACCTAACCTGGAAGTCTTCAAGAGGAGGTTTGATAGTCACCTGGCTGGGGTCATCTGACCTCGGTCATCTTTTCTGCCGGGGCAGCGGGTCAGACACGATGATCCTTTGTGGTCCCTTCCAACTCTACAACCTATGAATCTATGAAACCTGAGCATTTGCACAAGAAGTCTGAATCAAATATCTAGTATGATTTGATAAAAACCTTGTACTCACAAAATTCAATTTGTACACAATCACTAATCCCATAGATCTTATATTCTTGAACTAATCTTTTAAAAGTATTAGATTGGGGGGGAAAAAAGCACAAGTTGTATCTGACAGTATCAGTGACTAATTTTGGTTAAACGTGTAACACTGCATTTATTCAAAAAATAAACATTATAAAACTTGAGATATTCAGTGAAGGGTAAACTTAAAGGAAACAGATACATTGGAAGTATGGAAAGCATTAGGGGTGCACAGATAAAGATTTTTTGGGCTGAATTTTCCTTGCAAGCTTTTGGGCACAAACACCCTTCTTCTAACATAGGGAGAGTCTGCTTGTGTTTATGTGCTCTCCTGTGTACGCTAGAAGCCAATATGCAAAATGCAGGTCTGTGAAGATGCAAATGCATTGCAGTAAGGTTCAAAGGGAATAAGAGACAATAGGTGTGAGAAGGGAGTGGGAGGGAGGGAGGTGGGAAGGGGGAGGAGGTGATAGAACATAGCTGGTAAAATGTAGAGAGGTTATCTGGGGTTATCAGATGGCAGGCAGGTCATAATGTGCCATAAATCCAATGTCTATATTTAGTCCATGATTTTTTGTATCCACTAGATTTATGAAGATTTATTTGATCCATTGTCTCTATGATTAAAGAATTTTGTCTATAGTTCATATTTAAAAATGGATTGTTTTTGGCCTAACAGCATTATTGCCAGACAGAATCAATGTTATTTGGTACCTCAGCTGTGCACTTAATATTTTTACTTAAGTTTATTCTACACCCAAAAAGTAGGTGGTGTAATTTTGGGAAATACACAAAGTAACTAAACCTCACTTCAAGTGAAAACATCACTACAACATGCATCTCCTTGGTAATAAATTAAAGTTATATAACTTTTACTGTTCTTTTTACTGGCAACAATACTAAATTGGATTCAACTCGCATGTAACTTACCCATAATGGCAGTCAGCCTGAAAACCTGAATTTCAGGGAAATGATCCTCTCGTTAGCATGCTTCTATTCCCTGAAAATAAAAAGATATTAAACAATTAGAATTACTAGAAAGTCAAAACGGAGTATTTAAGATGACAAAAATTCCAAGTGTGAAGTATAGCCATTTCATTAGTTCCCACAGTAGGCATTTGGGGTGTCAAATATTTAAAAACTGAATACCCAGAAACTCAGGAAGCACAGTATTAAGTTACAGACTTTTATCATATCTATAATTTAAAAGCTTCAAAAATAAAATCTTCAACTTTAATCTTGATTTCCACCTTAACATCTGGATGTGCAAGTTGGAGATTCAAAGGCACAGAAAGATGTCAAAATGCCCTTGAAAGCAAGTCCCTCAGGAAAGTACTATGTATAAAATTAAATTGCCTGCTTAAATTTTTAAGTGTTTAACAATTTAGAAATAAGCTGTCCAGAAAAAAGATGGACATATAAATATAGATGGATATAAATCTGTTGAGAATGAATCCAAAACATCCATGTTGGGCAGCTGTTAGAACATGCAAAGAGTGAAGCAAAAACTCCTTCTGTAGAAAAGCAATAAGAGAGGGGGAGCTTACAGGACTTCAACAGGAAACATGCAAGAACCATCAGAGAAAAGAGAAGAATGGTGGACCCTTAGTTGCATCCTAAGTAAAAGCAGGATTAAGATTTAGCATGCAAGAACCCAAGGGAAAGGGAAAAAAAATCACTGCATATTGCCCATGCTCAAAATATCCCTTCTTCCCTGAATGGAGCAGGTAACCATAATAGCATTTTATTTCCTTCTTCACTCAAATGCCAGCACAAGATGAGCCTCTAAGGATCTAGAGCACCACATAGGGAATGAGACTGGGAGATGCATGTATTGCCTGTCCCTCCAACCAGCACCCAATCACAGCAACACCAAAAATGCAATACCGTTCCAACTATACAAGCTACATTGACTTTGCTTCCCTTTCATCTAGCATCCCAAAGCTGACTGACACAGTTAATGTTAGCCTGAAGTTAGGCAGAAGGGAAGTAAAGATGCACCTTACAGACTAACTGAATCAGAGCTAGATAAGCTCTCCTGAGCCACAGCTCACTTCATCGCATGCTATGCAAGGACATGCAGAGAGCAGACTATCACTACTTCTGTTTGAAAGCCTGCTCTCTGAATGTCTTTTCATGGCTTATGAATCTCTGATTCAGTCTATAAGATGCACCTCTACCTTGTCTTCTGCCTAACATCCTGTGGTCAACTAGCGGAAACAGCTCTCAAATAACAATGCAGATGTCATGGGCTTTCTACAAACCTTGGAACACTATCATAGCTTGGAGGCTGGTATCAGCAATTTCTGTTGGCAAGGGAAATCTCCTGTCCCTTATGCATGATGAACCTGAAGTAAGTTCACAAATGGGAACTCAGATCTTTCCTTCTCCACAGTCCCTCCCATCAGAGGGAATAAAAGTGCTCCTGAGAAGCCAGGAAAAGCATTTTTATGAATCCTACCTTAATTTGGTCTTCCAGCACAACTGAAATATTTTCAGTATATATTTTCAGTATCAGGAACATGCCAAGTTTCCTGCGTACTGTGCAACTATTCAGAACTTTGAACACTTAAAATTGTCTCCTTAAAAACTGAATTATTTATACAAATGTCTACATTTCTAGTCAAGCAATTTATGCACACTGTACAAAAGTAATCATGTAATACAGATACAAATCATTGAGTAACAATAAGTATCTTAGTGTGACAAAAAAAAACCCTCATAGGCAACCCTAACCCTACTTCTCTTTCATGTGGAAATCTTTCTAATAAGAGTCGATGGCAGTTTGTTATATTAACAGTTGGAGAAGCATGTCTGTCTGTGTCAGGGAGACAGGGAGAATACCCAGATATTCAGAATCCTAAATTAGTAGTAAGGATAAAAGCAATATTTAATCCTCCCGCCCAAAAAAGAGAGAAAAATGTATGCAGATGCTATTGCAAAGTATAATTATCCCTGCACTTTTAAACCAAAACTGAAACCATGACCATATTTCTTCATGATCTGCCAAAACGAGTGCTGTTCCAAACACCGTAAGCAGGGAGAGTTTTTTGAAAGGGAAAAAACTTCAAAAAAGGGCCTGAAGAGCCACAAATGCTTCCTTTTAATTTGCTAAAGGCTCTGGCAACACAGAAGGCAAGATTTTTTTTTCTTTGAACAGAAAAAAAAGCTGCTTAATAAGCAGTTTCTAAACAAACAAAACATGCTGTTTTATGAAACAAAGCTACTTTTAAAACACAGCCGACAGACTAATTGATTCAGATGTCCAGACAACTAAAACTATATAGAGGTTGTATACATAAAACAAACAGATAAGATAACAATTAGTCTCTAATAGCAAATACCTACACAATAAAGCACTGCATTAATGAAACAGGGGACTGCTCCTAGTTCTTGTACTTAATAAAACACAACTGTGAATTAAGATTTATTTCTACAGTGAACAGAAATATTTTTGCTTCTTAGTTAGCTGTTGCAGGTCCAGCATTTTCCCTATAGCAAGCTCTCAGACTCATAATAAAATCTTTTCCTCTACTAAAGAGAGTATTCATTTTCTTCCTTTACTGCAGACCATAGTGGAGCGAAAAAACCCAACATGTTTTCCAAGATCCTACTCATCTGATCCCTATGAAAAAGACTCAAGGGCTAGGAGTTACTCAAGAGGAAGTACAGAAAAAACAGCACAGGACCACATACTCACTATTACCCACTATAACCCCTTAGTACCCTTGTGGTTCTCTGCATGACGTATATACTACATCAGAAAACCTCATCTTCCCAACTGTTTTGCACAGAGGTTTAAGCCTGAAATGAGAAGCAATCTGCTGAAATCGCTCCACTTGCCACCTCATCCACATCAGTGGATGAAGCAAAGGACCCACCTGCACTTTTTCAACATGACTAAAGGACTAGACGTTTTTAAGTCAGCCGGCCTGGATGATCTTCACCCTAGAGTCCTAAAGGAACTGGCTGGGGTCATTGCAAGTCCCCTGGCGCGGCTTTATGAACACTCGTGGTGCTTTGGAGAGGTGCCGGAGGACTGGAAGAGGGCCAACGTGGTTCCCATCTTCAAAAA